TCAAATACTCCGGTGAGCTTCTGCCCGAACAGTGTCGTGAGTCGGCCCTTCGATAGTTTAAATTGAGTTGTTAACTTCGGTGTTTAAAAAGGAAACTTGTCTTCTTAACTAAGAAGTAATTAGCACTAATAATTAGCAATCTTAATTAATACAATCGTCGTATCATTAGAACAGTCTTTTTCACTACTTTCTTTCTAATTTTTAACAAAATTGGTGCAAGTTATTTCGAAACATTAAGAAAACAAGTTTTCTTTTGTATCAAGGTACGGTGTTCGTATTAACACTTAGAAATTGTGAATTAACTGTCAAAAATAGTCGTTTAGTGCTTTAAGTGCTAAAATAACGAACTGAAAACAAAACTATAATTCATCCCTGTAAGCAGCGAAGCATAGCTGGTTGCAGCCTACTCATTGTAACATTCTTCTATACACAACTAAATTGTAAGTAAGAATTATATTGTTAAATACAACATTGTTTAATGAATAAACATCATAAATAAGGAATATGTATATGTTTAATTAACGAGAACCCGTAGTTCTTTTAAAGTCGAACGAATCCTTACTTAAAAATAAATATCAAGTCTTACCAACTTGATTAATCAGCAACTTGTCTCCATTTTACTAATTATTTAGTAAACTAACCTAACCTTAGCTCGGGTCGTAACATTGAGATTTAACAATTCTATTTCTGTGTAAGATATTTTTAAAAAATCATTATTTTCAATGTTTTACAAAAATTTAAATAACTTCTAAAAAAAGAACACTTTTTAATGATCTTAGGCTTACTTTAAAGGTTATTTTCTACATAATGAGAATTACTTGGAGACATTAAAGTGTAATTTTTCCTTAGAAATTGCAGGTCGTCAAAGTTATACACAAAAAATTCAATTTGAAATAATTTTTTTGTACAAAAAACTATCCTACAAAATATATAAAACATGATTGGCCTGGCCATTTTTGTAAAATTATTTAATACTAGAACCAAAAGGGCGCGCGTCGCGCGCCCACTCCTGATTTTTTACCACACAAAATAAAACCTTAATATAACCTTAAATTAAATCTGAATTTAATAAAAACATATGTTTATATTTTAAAAATTATTTTTCTGTTAATAAGATTGTATAAAATTTTTTAATTTTTTTAATCTAAGTTTGACGAATTGAATTTTCTATAAAAAATTACACGTTAATGCCTATAAAAAATTCTCATGCTGGAGAAAATCACCTTTAAAATAAGCCTAAAATCATTCAAAAGCATTCAGTATTTTAGAAGTCATTAAAATTTTTGTAACACATTGAAAATTATCATTTTTTAAAAATGTCTAAATAAAATATTGATCAAATGACTTGAAAAACTATGTACAGACTCCAAGGACTAATTTAAAAGAAGAAAAATCAGTAACCTTCTATATTATAGAAATTGTGTAGATTTTTCTGCCAAAATACAGGCGAAATTTTTATAAAATTTATACTTGGAGTTTTTCACATCAATACAGGGTAATTTAATTTTCCTAAAATATTGAGAACATTCTTGAATTTGCAATTGTTTTAAAGAATTGTTAATAACAATTTTAAAATTTAATTTTTTAACAAAAACTTTATTTTATCATTAAAGTATAGACTTGAAGCTTTAATTTAAAAAAAATTACTTAATTATTACTTCCTCATAGAGGAAGTATTGTAATATCGAAATTTTTCGAGTTCGATTTTTTGATATATCTTTATGTTATTTGACCTCAGGAGTTGCGGACATAAAGTGAGAGTACTTTGTGAAAGATTAATAAAGTTTAACTAATTTTTTTTTTTGGATTTTTAATTTTCCAAAAAAACGTTTTTTGACCATAACTTTAAAAAACTGTTAGGACACCTATAAATTTTTTTCCATAGTTTTGTAGAGTTTTTTAAACGCATCTTTTAAGTCCTAATTGAAAATTTTTCGTCCATATTAACCGGAGATATTAAACTTTTAAGAATCATAAATTTTAGAAAAAAATATTTTTTTAAAAATTTTGTTAAAAAATGTAGAAGTAATCTTAAAATTGTCGTTACCAGTTGGTAGAGCATTATAAAACGATTCGATTGACCTATTTTTGAACCTAATTCGATAATAAATTTTGACATTATTGGTATTTTAAAAACCAAAAATTGTGGAAAATGACATTTTCTCAACTTTTTGTTTGAAAATTTTTGTTTAACTATTAAACTATTATAACTATATTGCAGAGTATTTAAAAATACATTGACTGACCCAAGATTCAATCACTTTTACCATATTTATTAAAAGTTATTCATATATTTTCCTATTACTATTATCTCTATGAGGAAGCAAAGTATTCATGAAATGAGCGCACCAAAGTTATAAAAAAATATATAACTTGTCAGCGGTTTCTTAATTTGTTTCAAAGCAATAATAACATGAAAATAAAATGATCTAAAACTTTAACACCAAATTACTTTAATAATAAAATTTTTTTTTTTAAAGTTTCCCTTATTAGGAAAAATTTTTTTTTCCTTATTGGGTCAAAACCCATTATATTAAAACATCAAAGATGTTTTTGTTGGGATTAAATTATTCTCTAATTAATTATTTATTACCATTTATTAAAGCAATTTTAATTAATTGTACACTATCTGCAAAAATTATGTAAATGCTACATTTTAGTGCTATAAATATTTTTTTCATTTTGCAAAATGTATTAACCCATTAACGCCCACCAGGACGCAAAACGTACCAAGATTTCATGACTCTTATTTTGTATGAAATAATTAGTTAAAAATTTTAGGAAGTACCATTTCCCACGTAAATTTATCGCTCTTTCTGAATATGAAGCTAAAATTTGTTTATAATTATCTCAAAAAAATTTATAACAATTTTATTGCAAAAAAACACACTTTTTTATGAAAAAAAATTTTTCAATTATTATTTTGACATGGAAAACTAAAGAATATGGTCTCCAAAGCACAAAATATCGCGTCCTTGAATTCTCAGCTATAAAAGTCCATAATTACTTTTCATTAAATTCAAGATGGCGGATACGAAAATGGCCTTTTTTCCAAAATGCAAAAGGCCGAAAAAAATTTTCGGGTAATGTTTTTCAAAAGTTATTAGATTTGATTGAAAATGGTTACTCGGGAGTTTTTGGGGTCGCTGATTACGAATCTGATGTTACTTTTTCAAAATTCAAAATGTCGGATCCAATATGGCGGACAATTTTTTAAAAAGTGATTAGATTTGATTGAAAATGGTTACTCGGGAGTTTTTGGGGTCGCTGATTACGAATCTGATGTCACTTCTTTAAAATTCAAAATAGCGGATCCAATATGGCGGACAATTTTGCCCAGCTCTTATCACAAGGAGGTCGACGTGCAAAAAAGCTACTTCTTTTATTTTATTTTAAAAATTTGTTTTGTTTTTTTTTATTTAAAAATTTTTTTCTGGATATTTTAATATTTTTTAAAATAAATAATATAAAATTTTAATTCTGCTTTCTAAATCTGAACCAACGATAATTATGACACTTATATAATTATGACATTTTTTATACAAAGATAAAAAAGAGACTAACACAACATATGGTTTGATTAAAAACAAGTGACGCACATATATATGCCACATTGAATACACAATTTGTGTGTCCTTTTGTTGCACTTTGCATGATAGTGGCTATATTTTTCGAGGCAAAATACAACAAAAAAATTTGTAAATAAAATTTTAAAAAAACTGGCTTTTTTGCACTTTGACCTCCTGGTGGTAAGAGCAACAATAAACATATTATTGTTCCGATGTTAGATTCGTAATCAGCATCCTCAAAAACCCCGGAATGACCATTTTCAAGCAAATACAATCACTTTTTAAAAAATATGTCCGCCATATTTGATCCGCCATTTTGAGTTTTGAAAAAGTGATATCAGATTCGTAATCAGCGATCCCAAAAACCCTCGAGTAACTATTTTCAAGCAAATCCAATCACTTTTTAAAAAATATATCCTCCATATTGGAACCGCCATTTTGAATTTTAAAAAAGTAACATCAGATTCGTAATCAGCGACCCCAAAAACCCTCGAGAAACTATTTTCAAGCAAATCCGCCATCTTGAATTTAATAAAAAGTAATTATGGAATTTTATAGCTGAGAGTTCGAGGACGCGATATTTTGTGCTTTGGAGACCATATTCTTTAGTTTTCCATGTCAAAAGAATAATTGAAAAAAAAATTTTTCATAAAAAAGTGTGTTTTTTGCAATAAAAATGTTATAAATTTTTTTGAGATAATTATAAACAAATTTTAGCTTCATATTCAGAAAGAGCGATAAATTTTACGTCGGAAATGGTATTTCCTAAAATTTTTAACTAAATATTTCATACAAAATAAGAGTCGTGAAATCATGGTACGTTTTGTGTCCTGGTGGGCGTTAATGGGTTAATTAACATTTTTCCCGTCTAAGACACTAAAACTCAATATAAGTATTCAAAAATTAAACTTAAGGTTATGTTATTCAGTGGTCACGTGCCCCATGTACTTTACTATGGAAAAACGTTACACTGAATAACATGCCCTTAAAAGTAAAATTTAATTAACTTTCCAAAATCATTAAAAAATTTCTTGACTTTGTCTTGTTTAATAAAATTAATATAATTTTGGAAATACTTTACATGTTTTAATGTTCTTTGGATAAAGCTGAAAGAAGCATTCAGTTTATTTTAATACAATTAATGTCAATAGTATTAATTAATGCTAATAGTATTTAACATTAAAATCTACAAGTAAATATGCAAATAAAAAAGCCAAACATGACAGAATTTTATGTATTATCCTAACTTAAATGCTTGGCCATTAGGGATGGCAAAGTCGACTTCGACTTTCGACTAAAGTCGACTTTCCATTTTTAAAAGTCGACTTTTAGTGATCGACTTTCAATTTAATAAAGTCGACTAGAATCGACTTTGCAGTGTCGACTTTCGACTTTTAAGCTTTTTTCAAAACCAAAACAAAATGACGCCGGATACGAAAACGGGTTCGGAAAAGTTGAGTTAGAAAAGGACAGAGATAATATCTGTCTATACTGCTAGAGAGAGACTACTCTGATTGGTCGGTCAAATCTACTCCATTATTCTACAACCCAGTATCAGTAACTGCACCCTGACCACTCGCTCGCTTTTAGGTTACATTGAAAATAGGACCTAAGGAAGTTTCTGCCGCGAATCGCGAAAAATCTTAAACAAAAGAGTGTCGTATAGTGAACAATTGAAAGTAAACATATTTATCATGTGCAGTGAATAAATTAATAGCCTAACGTCTTAGAAATAAAGATTAAAATATAATTTTAAACAATGGCACCGAGTGCTGTTTGGACATATTTTACAAAAATTGACAACAACACTAAAGTGAAATGCGGAAAATGTGGTAAAGAAATGAATTTCAACAATAGCACAACAACATTAGCAAATCACTTGAGAACAGCACATAAAATTACCATTGAAAGACAAATTCCTACAAATGTAAAAAGAATTCGGCTCTCTTCTGTAGATGAAGCAAACATAAATGTTAATCCTCTGTCTTCTCAATCTTCAGTTAATAAGGAGGTAAGATATCCATATTTACTTTAATAATTTGATGCAAGAAAGTTTTTGTTAAACAGTTGAGTACCTTACAAATAATTAATTTTAAAAAATACACTTAAAAATGTGATTTTACATGCTGTGTATGCGAGGGAAAGAACCTATTCTAAGCGTGACATTTTCACAGAATTTTTGTAATTTGATCTCATATAGAACAGTAAATTTACACGACTGAAAGGAGTAATTTTAAATTTAATTATTCAATTCCCAATAATCTGTAAAAATGACATTTTCAATTTGCGAGAAGAAAACCATCTCACAGTACGGTAAATTTAAATGGCGTTGCGAAATTCACCGGGTGATTTAAAATTGCTCTTCTCAGTACTGTAAATTTATAGAATCTTGTATTTCTAACCTCAAAATCTATTGCCACACTGACTGGAGTAAAATTACATAAATTTCTTTTAGCTGGTGGATACAGAGATATTGCCGCTACTAACGCATTGATTTTTATGATCGCTAAAGATGATATGCCATTGCGTACTCCTGAGCGTACTGGTTTTCGATATTTTGTAAAAAAATTACAACCACTTTTTCAAATTCCATCCGAATCGACTCTCACAAGAAGACTAGAAAATAAATATTGTGAATTGCGAGAACAATTTTCTTGTCTTTTGTCTCAATCACCATCAATTTGTTTAACTGCTGATATTTGGACTCACTCAAGTACAATGAAATCATATTTGGGAGTTACAGCTCACTTCTTAGTTGGTAAGAGTTATTTTTAGATATATTATCCTAAAACTATTTTAATTTTATTTTTTTTAATTTAACTATTTTAATTTTTTAAACTATTTTAATTTAAACTAAAAATATTTAAATTCTTCTCTGTGTTAACGTTTATATCTCTAAATCTGTTATAGGTATGGATATGCAGTCAATTGACCTTTGTGCAAAGCTTATTACAGATAGAAAAACAATCGTTAACCTTCGATGCATTTTCAAAGAAATTTGCCAAGAGTGGAAAATTAATTATGACAAAATTGTGGCTGTTCTAACCGATGGTGGAGCTAATATTGCTGGAGCTGTTCAAGAAGAGTTTGGTGCATCAAAGCACATCAGCTGTCTTGCTCATAAGATTAATAATATTGGTCAAGCATGTATTGATCTTCATGAGAAGAAGCTTCCTTCGGAAGAAACGAATTACAGTGAAGTTCATGATAATGAAGAGGACTTAGACGATGAAATTAATGATGAACAATTAGCTGATTTAATATCGAAAACGAGTAACAATTTTATAAAACAGATTATTTTAAAAGTAAAGCGGATTGTACGATTTTTTAAAAAGAGCGAAATTGCTACTTCCAAATTAGAGAAACTGCAAATAGTCTAACGTTGAAAATAAAACAACGTTAAAATTAATTCAAGAGGTAAAAACAAGATGGAACTCTTGTTATGATATGTTGGAAAGGTTCCTCTTATTATCAGGATTTGTCACTGTTGTTTTGATGAATCTTCAGCGAAACAGAAGTTCAAAAAGTAAGCCTCCTATCATGTTGACTGCTGTAGAGTTGGAAATTATGCAGGAGGTAAAAGACGTGTTGAAACCACTTTGGCAGGTTACACTTGAAATGTCTTCCGAAAAAATTGTAACATTAAGCAAATGCATACCCCTGATCAATGCAATGAGATGCGTAAGTACAACTTAATATATAAATGTAAAATGAAAATTAGTAATATGCTAGTAAATTAAAATTTTTTTTCAGAAAATTAATGGAATCGAGACAAGAACTAAAGACGGTTTTAATTTTAAGAAAAAGTTACAATCTTTAGTTGAAGCAAAATTTTCAAACGTAGAGTTTGTAAAACCGTACTCAGCTGCGACTCTTCTTGATCCAAGGTTTAAAAAAGACGTATTCACTAACATAGTTGCTGCATCAAAAGCAGTAACACATATTGGTAAGAAATATTTTTATTTTAATTATTCTATTTTAAAACAAAAGTAATGTATGCATGTATGTATAGGCAAAGAAGGTACTTGATTTGATGTGTTGTTTTTGCCATTTAGTAATCCAATTAATGCAGTTATATATATCAAAAAATTAAATATTATTTTTAAAAATAACAAAATTATAAATTTAATAAAAATTTTTAAAAGAAATTTTAATTTTATATCTAAGAACTCGTATAACTCGAAAAATAGATATAAAGTTCTTCAAAAATATATTGATTTTAAAATATTTAAAATTACTTGTTTTAAAAATCGAACTCAATTTTATCTACTACATTAAACTATACAAGATTTAAGTGTGTTTTTATAAAAAAATGACTAATTTCAGGTTCATTGGTATCAGAATGTATTGGAGTTGATTCTAGAAATCTAGTTCAAAATTCTCAAAAAGTTTCAAGCTCAGAGGACAGTCTTTGGTTTGAATTTGACCAGTCAGTGAAAGATAAGGTCTTAAACGCTGATCAAGATGTTGCTAATGGAATCCCAGTGGAAATGAGACAATATTTTAATAGACCCATCATTAATCGTATAGAAAATCCTAACCCGCTAGCTGCCTGGGCTGTTTTAAAAGGAGAATATCCTCATGTATATAAAGTGGCGCTTCAATTTCTACCGGTTTTAGCCACCTCTGTTCCAGCAGAGAGACTTTTCTCTCATACAGGGCTAATAGCGACAAAACTTAGAAATCGAATTTCTGGAAAGCACCTAGATCAACTAGTATTTATGCGTAGTTTGGACGAAAAATGGTTTAATTAGTTGTACTTAAAAAGATAATGTTTATAAATAAATGTTACATGTTTGATTATATGTATTACAAATATAATAAGTTAATTGCACAACATAATACAGTTTTTTATCCAAAAAAGTCGAAAAGTCGAAAAAAGTCGACTTTTTCTTATCGATCAGTCGACTTTAAAGTCGACTCAAACAGAGTCGATCGAAAAGTCGAAAGTCGACTTTCTGGTGAAGTCGAACAACCCTATTGGCCATTTCTGGTTGAAAAAGTATCAAGCTAAATCAAAAATTGTCTTTTTTAAAACATTTACAATATAAATTTTTTTAAAATTTTTCATTCTTACTCATAGTAATCATAGTAATACAACACTATCCTACCTAATTTTTTTACACAAAAAACATTATTATAATAAAGTTTAAAAATTAAAAAACTATATTATTTATATTAATTTATTTTTAAATTTAAATTTATAAGAAAATACAAAATTTTTATAAAATAAAAAAAATTTGAATATTAGTTAGTTAAGGCGGGAAACCACATTAGAACGCTGTTTTTGCCGTTTTTCGCGAATTTTTTTGAATGAAATAAAACATTTCCACTATGTTGTTCATATATTTAACTGTAATTCATATTTTTTATAGGCGTTTATATAAAAAATCTTCCAAATTGGGAGCTATTGCATATAGAGCTGCTTCGCCGGAGTTCATGACTGCCGTGCAGTCTTGAGCCCACAAATTTTGCCCGAAAGCAAAAAATCAAGTTTAATCATATTTTATAAATATTTTATTATTAAGTGAACTAACTTTTAAGTGAAAATATTAAAAATTGAAAAATTGACACTTCTTTTAAAAAAAATTCGATTTTTTGCCTACTTTTTTGCAACTTTTTTATTTTAAAAAAGGTACTCAAAATTTTTTTTTTCTTTTCAACTTTAGTTCACTTAATAATAAATTTAATAACGAACAATTTCCAATTTTTCATTTTAAAATCGGTCAATAACTTTTTGAGCTACACTGTACGGCAGTTTTAAAAATCCTGTTTTGAGAAAAACGCATTTGAAAAAATAGTATCAAAAATTCATATTTATACAAAAAAATTTTTTAAAGTGATTACACTTTAATCGGCTATTTCAACACTATATTTATCCTTTCATGTGCTTCATAAGTAGCATGTAAGTCTAATAATTCCTCTTTTCGTGACTTTCTGCTCTCCTTATTCTCAAAAGTGCTACGCTTATTCTACTAATCTACGGTAACCTGGAGCGCGCTCCGTTCATCGCTAGTACAGCAAGGACTTCGAATTTTGCTCTAAAAACTTTGTTAGCCTATTTTTGAATACCTTAACTAACAATTTATGCAAAAAAGAAAAAATCGATTTTTTCAGACGTCTAGTGTTTCCCCCCTTAAGTCATTTTTAGTTTTATTTAATTATTTTAACATTAAATACTATTATAAAAATACTTTGAAATTAACAGTACAGGGTCACTCTAAGCTTTAGATTTTTACCAATTTTTAGGAATTTAAAGTTAAAAATCACTTATCAAAATTACTTTCAAAATAAGTCAAACACATCGATACCTCCATGTACCCAGTAAAAAAAAACTAATTCAAATGAATTGAAACGAATTAACATTTTTGGTAGGCTCCAATTCGTATTTGTCACAAAGCGGGATTCACTCAAGCTCTTTGTATATTCAATTGAATTTAATTCAATATGTACCAATTTGTCCAAACGAATTCGCATTCGAAAGAAATGGCCAAGGAATGCATTGAATTCGTGCTAACGAATTGAAAAAAATTAAAGGCTCAAAACTTGTCCAGTGAATTGGTACGGATAGAAGGTTCGGAAGTTCAATACAGTTTCACGAATTCAGGAAAATTGCATCATGGCTCCAATTCGTATTTGTCACAAAGCGGGATTCACGAAAGCTCTTTGTGAATTCTTTTTAATTCATTTCAATTAGTTTTCGTTTACTGGGTATTACAATCCTATCTTATGGTGAAGGTTAATACAGTCCTATCTTGCGGTAACGTTCTATACAGTTCTATCTTGAAGTGACCGTTTATACCATTCTATCTCAAATTTGCCAATTTTGCGTAAGAGCCAAATTAAAAGTAAATTCCATATTAAAAATATTAATGACAGTTTGATATTCATAAGATAATTTTTATGTAATTCTTTAAAGATTTTTCTATCATAATATACATAAATAAAACACAATTATATAAAATCAAGCCAAGAAAATGCATTCTTAATACGTCTACAAAGGTTAATTAACCTAATTTTATGACAGGTTAATATTTCACGGGATAGTGGAATGATAAAAATAATGTTGTTAGTTTTCTTGTTTAATTTTAATTATCAATTATTATTAGTTAAAATAAACGTATCATTTTTATGAGTTTTAAGTATAGATACAAATATTTAAATAAGTAAGTAAACGAGGTTTTGATTGTAGAAAATTTTTACACAAGTGAGAATACAAATAGAATAATAATAAAATAATTTAAAAATCTACATTATTTTACTTTAATAAACGTTGAAAACGTCACTCCAATATAGAATTAATAAGTATGTTTCAAGGATTATATTATACTAGTATTTTATTATATATTTCACAAACGATAACAAGATTATAAATTACAATATAATTATAATAATAAAAGTATCTGTAATATTAGTCAAAATAGTCAATCCGAGTCTGAATTCGAATGATCTCAATTTCTACGTCAGAACAAGTCTCTCCTGGTGTAAGAAAAGTTAAAATAAAGCAAAATTAACAGATATAATAATCACTTTATAAATTTATATATTTTTATTATTATTCAGTAAAGAATTTTTTTCCTGATGGCATACTTAAATCCAAAGGGATATCCATTTTCTACCTTTTGTTCTTTTTTGCTTTTCTAACGCGATTATACGAATCACATGTGTATATTTTTTTTGACAGATACAAAAACAAAAGAAAGATAGAACACTTTTACTTGGAAGATAAAACTTGTTATTATTTCTAATTACTGTTTTTTATAAATATCCTAATTAATATAACTATTTTAGGTGTTACCATCTAATACAGAATATTTTCTTCTATAATTTTAGCAAAAAACTGAAAAATTGAAAATTTTGAGATAGAATGGTATAAACCGTCACTTCAAGATAGAACTGTATAAAACGTTACCGCAAGATAGGACTGTATTAACCTTCACCGTAAGATAGGATTGTAATACATGGAGGTATCGACATGATTCTGAAAGTGGCACCTTATTATTATGGCACCTGTTTATTACCTTCAAGACTCTAATTTTGAACTGAAATAAAAAATATTCTTTTTTTGTTTAAGACAACATAAACTTTTTTATAATAAAAAACTGGGTACTTGTTTAAGATTTATTAAAAAAATATTAAACCATGTAAAGTATTACTGAAATTATATTAATTTTTTAATAAAACAAGGCAAACTCAAGGACGAGATCAAGCATTTTTAAAATGATTCGAGAAAGTTATTTAAATTTCTTTACAAGTTTAATTGTTGAAAAAGTAGATAATTTTAGTGACTTAGACGGGAAAGTTGTTAATTTATTACTTGCATTTCTAAATTACAAAAAAATCATTTTATATCATTAAAAAGTAGTATTTCACACAATTTATAAAAACTTACCTCCTTATCCTTATTTTTAATCACAAAAATTTTTTTCGTCTTATTTTTTTTAATTCTGAAAAGAGAAAAAAAGTGTTCTTCACTTTACACTTTTATTTTTCTGTATTATATACTGCAAAAATCTGTTAATAAACTGTAACTACACTGTAAAAAAAGAGAGTTAAATTTTAACTTCCCAGGGGATTCTATAAAAGTGGCACCCATTGTTGAGTTAATGCCAGGGGAGTTAAATAAAGAGAGTTAAAACTTCACACCCAAATGCTAACTCCCCAATGAAAAAATAACTCGCGCGGGTGTTGAATGAAGGGAGTTAGAAATTAACTCTCTTTTGGAGTTGATTTTCAACTCGAAAAATTTCACTCCAAACTCCCGAGTCCGTTAACTCCCTAAATTTTTTACAGTGTATATATGTATATACTCAAGTATAAAATAGACTACCAATGCAACTCTCTCTCTCTCTCTCTCTGCTCACTGGTCACTGGTCACTCAATAGACTGCCTACTGGTTGAAAGAAACCCTTTAGACAATAGGCCAGGTACTCGAGCAGACCTTTCGTCCCTGTTTATAACGCAGAAAATCTAACGCTATTGCTTTCTTCCTCTTTCCAAATAGAAATAACATAAATCGGTCTCTGTTTATAACGCAGAAAATCTAACGCTATTGCTTTCTTCCTCTTTCCAAATAGAAATAACATAAATCGGTCTCTGTTTATAACGCAGAAAATCTAACGCTATTGCTTTCTTTCTTTTTCGAGGATAAGTAACATTAGACTGTCTCTCTTTACCTAATTTGCATATATCTACTCGTTTCATATTAAGGATCGATGAGTGTGGGGCTGAAAAAGTTTTCTTTTCATCTAAAAAAACAAATACAAAAACAATAAAGTGAATGTGTGAATAATTAATGGACCCAAAAACTTATTGAATGTGAAAAAAGAGATTTTATTGAATTTTTTGCAGTAATTTTTAATGTTTCTTTAAAGAAAATGGTTCTTTTCTGTATAGCGGTACCAAAAATATATATATATATATATATGTTACCGGCAAAGTATGAAATCCAGGCATTTTATAAAATGCCTAGGCAGTATATAAAAAGCCTGTCCATTTCAGGCAATGTATATAATTAAATTATTTTTTCATATATTGCCTAGGCATTTTATAAAATTCCTAGGTATTTTATAAAATGCCCATCGAGCATAAGGTAAAGTATATAATAGTCTCAGCAGCTTGAAACGTCTACCTTTTTCTATAAACACTTTCCACGATTTTTCTATTATAAATAGAAAATAATAAGTATATAACAATAAGTATTTTAGCTATGTTTACATAGCTGCATGTTAGCAGTGAGTAATTTTATACAATGAAGTTCAATATTTCTAACTCTTAAGAATAATACTTAATTAACAGAAAATACAAATTTTGTCAGTCAATTCTCACATTTTGAGG